CCATCAACTCATGAACCGGGGACCAACGGCTTTCCCCCGAAGGAAGGCGTGATCAGAGATGTTATGCCTCAGAACATCCCGGCGGCGCCAACTGGGATTGAACCCAGGCCTGCTGGGGTGAGAGTTACTCACGCTTACAACTACACCACCGGCGCTGCTACCTAGAAATCATACATGATAATAAATACAAAAAAAATGTGTCTATGACCAGTTCTAAAAAACGGCAGAGTGATTAGATCAGTTTTTTTGACCTATCCACTTTAATGGACGTTCCAGATATTCCGGAGACCATCCAATGGACCCTGCGGTCCATTTTCCAGTCACAACTCCGAGTTCATTCTGATGAGTTATCTATTATTTTCCAGAGGAGCGTTCTTGGTGTCCATGGTCTATTTTCCAATCATTACTCCGAATTCATAATTATAAGACGTCTATGAGAGTTTACGAAAAAAAAACAGAGTTCTTGGATCAGTTCCATGAATTGAGCTCTTTTACGGATGTTTCGGATCTTTCGGAATGGTCCCAAAGCCAATTTAGGAAGACACAAATGTTTGCGCCCAAACCGTCAGTTTTAGATATACCGTGTCTTTGGGAAAGTTTCTTCATATTGTTTGGCCGATATTTTTATGTTAGTTAAATTAGGGTGGTCCAAAAAATTGGAGATTTGAAAATACAAACTTTTTTTTTATTATTTGAGATAGACCAATGCAATGTTCTAAAAGTTGTAGAACAATCAATTCGAAGCAATTTTGTTCAAGACACCAAATTTTTATCTCTTATGGTTCATGAGTTACGATTTTTTAAGCAAGCAGGTTAGGAATGCCCCTAAAAACAGATTTCTTCGAATATCTTTTGATAAGTTCATTTCTCGTAAAAACCTAGTTTTGGTTACATTTGAACTTATTAAACGCATATTTTTGCTGAAGCAACCAGGCTGCTATCTTTTTATTTATTATTTTATTCTTCGAAAAAATGGTTCTATTAAAATGACAATGTCTCTAAATGGACCAAACTGATTTTAAAACATTTGTTTTCATTTAAAAGATCGTGTTTTTTTTTCATTATTGGTGGAAGAAACTGTGTAATTAAAAAAAAAATCTTTTATTTATCAAAAACTAGCCATAACTTTTAAATAAAGGAGATATCAAATAAGTGGCTTCTGCAAAAATATGCGTCATAAAAAGTTCTAAAAGTATTTAGAACAATGTTTTTCCGAGAGGTTAGGGTGGCTCCTAGAAAATCGGCTTTCTTAAAATATTTTTTATACGTTGATCACCAATAAAAAATTTTAAAGAAAGATTTTCTAGAGGCCACTCTAACCTATTGGTTTAAAAAAACCATAAGTCATGAACCATAAAAGATAAAAATCTGATGCCATCAGCAAAGTTGGTTCAAATTGATCGTTCTACAACTTTTTTAAACACTGCATTAGTCTATCTCAAGTAATAAAAAAAAATGAATTTTCAATTCACCAATTTTAAGAACCACCCTAATTTCAAATCAGCTAAAAATATGAAAAAACTTTCCCAAGACACCATATACCTAAAAGTGATGGTTTTGGTGCTAATATTTTTGTCTACATAAATACGGCTTGGAGACCATTGTACATTGATCCCCAGGGTCAATTTTCTGGTCATAGCTCCAAATTAATTCTGATAAGATGCCAATGAGTGGTTTCGAAAAAAGCGGAGCTCTAAGTTCAGTTTCAAGAACTGAATTTTTTATGGATGTACAGGATCTTCCCAAAGGTTCATTTTCCGTCTAAACATTCATATTCCGGTCACAACTCCAAATTCATTGTGATAAAACGTTTATGAGTGGTTTTGCAAAATTCACGGAGCTCTAGGATCAATCTCATGAATTGACAACTTTTTCGAATGTTCCGGATCTTTCGGTGGACCATCCTGTAGTCCCCAGAGTCCAAATTCTAGTCAAAACTCTGAATTAATTGTAATAAGACGTCTATGAAAGGTTTCGAAAAAAAAAACATGGAGCTCTAGGATCAGTTTCATGAATTGACCACTTTAACGGATGTTCCGGACCTTCTATAGAACCATCCTGTAGTCCCCAGGGTTAATATTCAGGTCAGAACTCTGAATTCATTCTGATAAGACGTATATGAGTGTTTTCGGAAAATTCACGGAGCTCTAAGATCAGTCTCATGAATTGACCACTTTTACGGATGTTCCACCGGAAGGCACCATCGTGTAGTTCTCAGAGTCCATATTCCAGTCACAACTCCGAATTAATTGTGATAATACGTTTATGAGTGGTTTCGAAAAATCCGCGGAGCTCTAGGATCAGTTTCATGAATTGACCACTTTTACGAATATTCCGGATCTTCCACAGGATTAGACTTGTGTCCTACCAGAAACTGAATCGTCCCAAAAGCTGGCCAACTTTCTGCTTAACAACTTCTCAAAAGACATCAGGAAGTTATCTCTTCAAATTGCCGTGGTCCCAATTAGCTCTAATCCCATATGCTCCGTGTATTCGTTAATGCCGGATCGACCGTACTATAGGAATCCAGTGGCATCAGTACTATAGGAATCCAGCAAGAACGAATCCGTACTATAGGAATCTTGACTGTATGTATATTAGACGCTAGTTATTTCAAATTTAATATTTTTAAAACTTTTCGTTCAACTTGTAGATTGGGGGCGCAAGTGTTCGAGGGGACTGACTTGGGTGCAGTGTATTTTTAATATTTAACATTTGCGGTGAGATTTTGCTCTCAAGTCGCCGACTACCCGCGACTACCCACAACCACAGCACAACAGTAGAACATATTGAACCAAAATAAATGTGATTGTGCATATGAAAAATCAAATGTTTAAACACTTCGATCAGATGTGTGGACTTTTTTGAGTGTGGAATGTTTCTTCATTTTTGAGTACCTACTTCATTTGAGTAGATCAACGGATGAAGGCATGAAAATTGATTCACCAGGAGTGCTTTTTTGTTTGTTTTGAGAACATTTAGTGCAAATATACAAGAAACGCACCCGTTTAAAAAAAATCAGCTGAAACTGATAAGGGCTTCTGGGATAAGATGCGCCCCTGGGGCAAAATTATGTTTTTTACTTCTGTTTCGAGGATCTTTGAATCAGCATCGATAGTTAAATGTCTCAACTAGCAGTGCTGCTAGATAAATCCTTGAACATGTTTAGGAAATGTATTTGAAATGGGGCCAGGGTGTGCATTTTACCCCATTTTCTGCTACTTGTTGTTTGATGCGGTGAAGCAAAGTGTGATAAGAAAATTGACTGTTTAAGTAAACACTTAATAATTCTTTAAATTTGTCGAACCTCTTAACGGAATCCCTTTATGAAGAGATTTGAGTGGGTTGGTTTATTTCCTTTAAAATCCGTTATAATTGCTTATATTTTGACAGATACGCGTATTTCGTCTACTACTTGCAGACTTCATCAGTGCCAACAAGTACTCAACACCACTGTTGTAGTGGTTTTGAGTACTTGGTACTGATGAAGTCTGTAAGTAGTTGACGAAATACGCGTATCTGTCAAAAGATAATCAATTATAACGAAATTTTAAGGAAATAAACCAACCCACTCATAGCACTTAATAATTACTTATTGTGGATCACTTTGATTCATATTGAAAGACTTGGCTTTGCCTTCAACGTCCCATTACGAAATATTGATGGGAAACATGTTGTTCTTCTTCTCCACCTTCATACTTTCGTGCATTTAACCGTTTACCCCTGAGCGTTGTGGCCACTTTCTGTTTTCTCTAACAAGTACAATATTCATATTAAGATTTGCATCAATTGACATAAGTACGTGCAACTGAAAAGTTTCCCACGTTGTAGGAAATTAGATAAAAACATTTCCTGCCTTCTTTCACATGAACACTTGGGCATTTATCAAACCTTTTTGAATAATTACCACCAATCAATCTCACCTCTAACTCATCTTTGGTTCGTTTCGTTCCAACTCCGAAACAAAACACTTTAATCATCACACTTTTCTTCATCACAAAACATTCACCAAACAAACAGAAACAAAACCAACAATTCCCACTCACCCAATCATTCTATAGCAAGAAACGATTCCAACGCCGTGCTTCCGTGAGAGACTGAAGCCCTCCACCCTCGATTCGATTGAGATGCAACTCACTTAATCCAATCCGCATGTCGTTCGGTGCATTCATAAACCCGGTCGGTCGGTCGATCGGTTGCAAGTGACTTCAACAGCCAACTAAAGCCCCAGCGGCGAACCCGATCACGGCGGCTGACGGCGTTCAAGTTCACTTACCTTTTTTCTTCGTTTCCCAAGACGACGAAGCCGGAAAAGCGTGCTCGCGCGTGGTTTGGGAAAATCAACAACAGCGCGCCGGAGAGAAACTTATCTCGCTTCCCGAGCGATCCAAATGGACCAATGAACTCCCAGCAGCCGCGCGGCTCTTTGGTGGTGAAGTGAAGGTTTCCGAAACGGCGCGATGCGAGTGAGGTTTTTGGATTACCAAAAGCGGATTGGGTGGGAACCGGAGCCTGAGCCTGAGCCTGAGCCCGCGCCGAGATAAACAACAACGCGTACGCGTTTGCAGTGGTGAGAGTGTGAGTGTGAGAGCGGTTGTGATCTCTTCGGGCTTCGCTTGTTGTTGCAGCTGGAGAGGTTGCTGCTGCAACCCAAGTTCAAGTTGAGTGTCGTCGTCTTGGACGCCGTGGCTGATGGAGAGATGCATGAATGAAAGTCCCCCCGCAGCCGCGCGCGCTCGCTGCCCAGGCACTACCGAACGTGTAGTGAGTGGTGATCTTCGAGGCGGAAGGTTGATGAGCGAGTGCGATGGCAGTATGAAGTCAACGTGCGAGAGAAGAGATCGGGACGCAGCTATGGTGTGTGAGGTTCCTCGGTTATGGGTATATTAAAAACATAAATACGTAAATACGCGCAGTGGTAGGAAAATGTAATATTCGGATGATATGGTGGGGAATTAGGAAACAGGTATCACATATATATAAATCGGTGTACGTTCTGTTAGCAGCATATCATATCCAATCCTTGTACTCTGCGGTTTAGTCGTGTGTTTTGTCGTGTGTTTCGTTTGTGGTTGATCCCGTCTTGTGGAGTGCGCCCAGAGAGTGGCCGTGTGCATTTTTCCACCATTTTTTCGTGAACTGATTTGGAGGAAAAAAGGGAAGTGAAAAAGCGAACTTTTGCCATCATCAGCAGGAAAAGCAAAATAGTGTGAGCACCTGAAATCAGAGAAGAAGATGGCTTTTATTTATAAAGTTTTTGGAGTGTTATGTGTGGTGGCAGTGGTTGCGGCCCTACCAGCGGAAGATACCCGTACCTCACGGAATGCCATCAATACGGAAGGTGATCTGATGGGAAGCATCTACAAGGATTGCTTGTCGTCGGATTCGGTGTCCTGTGTCAAGTATAAGATCTTCAGCTTCTTTGACAAGGTCGTGACCAAACGCAGTACGTTCTCGTTGACCGATGGAGTGACGGTGGTGAAGACCCCAGGAGTTGAAACCGATGGAGCCCCACGTGCCCTGAGCGGTGATGAGTCCATTGAACAGTTGATCCTGTCCCGTATCCAGAGCTTCCTGTCCACCCACACCATCAAGGTTGACCTGAAGGGTTCGGATATCGTGAATGCCGTCACCTCAACCGGACGTGCTCTGGAAGATGTCAGCGAAAACTTGCTCGATGATGGTGAGGATGCCGCTGAAGCTCGTGGCAAGAAGAAGAAGGCCGCCAAGATCCTTGGCCCACTCATGTTGGCCGTTGCTCTGAAGGCCGCCGCTCTGCTGCCACTGCTGTTGGGAGCTATTGCACTGATCGCTGGTAAGGCTCTGCTCATCGGCAAGATCGCTCTGGTTCTGTCTGCCATCATCGGCCTTAAGAAGCTGCTGTCCCAGGAGAAGCATGTCACCTACGAGGTCGTTGCCCACCCACACCACACTAGCAGCCATACTTCGAGCCATGGTGATGCTTACGCGCTTGGAGGATCGTACGCAGGCGGTGCCGAAGCCGGATACAGCGGCAGCTCAGGACACGGTGCTGGTGGTGGCTGGGGACGCTCCATCCAGGATGCCCAGGACTTGGCCTACAGCGTCCAGAAGCCCTAAGAAGCGACCTCCACCCACGGACCTGGAAACGATAGTCGAAACATTAGTTACACAAAATACGCAACTGATTGCAAGTGTACTCCTTAGAGGAGTTTACTCTTAAGCCCGAAGTACCGTCCAATACTCGTGCATATCGCCCGGATGTGCCTTTTACAATTTGGGGTCATTTTGATCTTTATTTATTTAATTTATTTAGACGAGATTTTGTTTTTTGCCGACTTAAATTAAATTATTTAAAGAACCACCAATCCAATTTCGTTCGCATACGAGTAAGCGTTAGGAAGTAATCGTAATTTATTTAGCCAACCAAGAAGCAAACCAAGCAGCAAAGCAAGAAGAAAATTCTAAAAAAAAATCTATACCAGAAACGCATATTGTGTGTGAGTTCAGAATCACGAAGAATTCTACTTTTCATCATCTCTCTTTCTTAAAATAATCTTCTCCTACTTGTAGCTAGATACTTAGCACTGTAACTGTTAAGGACTCAAGACTCTCTATCACTTTCACTCACTGTATCTATTGTACTATAATTTCCCCTTCCCTTGAAGCTTTACCTTTCCTCACCCTCTCAAAGAAACTTTAAACCACGAGTCTGTAGAACCAAACCCTTAAGAGTTCGTTTATTGCTTTCTCTTCAATCGTTCCTGTAGTTATCTCTTTTCTCGTGTTATAAGAAATTATTCCAGAAGGTCTTAAAAAAAAAGAAACTGAAAAATAGCAGCCAATTAGTTAAACTAATCACCAAAAACGACCAACGAAATAAATATGCTCAACTTGATAATAATCAAAAAAAATTTGCTTTCAATCATCGCCCATCCACCAATTTGGAAAAAAAACCAAAATTATTGATATCGTAAACTACTGACCCCCTACCTTCATCTTAACCCAGTCATTCTTGCTCTCATTCTTCCATCTTCTCTTTCACCACCACCCTCACCACATTCTTAGCTTAAGTCGATCGAATTGAATAAAGAAACGAGTTTTTGTTGTGAAAAAATAAGCGCTGGAGGAAATTTTCTAATTTCTGTCCGATTAACTTCCTGGCCGTCACCCCTCCCCCCAGGGGGCCCCCTGTTTGGATCACACCGTAAATCCCACCGATGAACCATGACTCGAAGAAATGCTAGCACGCAACCAATCGCTACTGCCATCATCGTCGAGAAAGGTATAGGTGGAAAGCGAAATGGTACCATCAACGGGGCTGGCCTCGTAAATGACTTTCATTCGAATCGGTACAAAGTTGGGCTGCTTTTATGATCATCGCCACCACCACCGACCGACTGCTGCTTGCGGCTGCTTAACTGGCTGCATCTCTTGTTGTTTTCTTTCATCCATTGTAATTGTAGATTTTTAGTGCTGCTGCTCCTTCACCAGCCCCCGCTTACAGACGGGGGGCATGTTGGTCTTCACTTGCCCGCTGAGAGTGAGCATGGCAGTGATCGTGTGGTTTGAGGTTATGTGTATGTTATTATCGGCATGCGCTACGAATGTCCCCGCCCCTGCCTTTTGCACCACCGCGGCGAACCCGACGAAGAATGTGGGAAATTGAAATTGGTTTTATGAGTAGCAATTGAAAGTAGAACATAATTGGCTCGTTGGTAGTTGTTATAGATGCAGAAAATGGGTAGTGTAAGATAGGGTAAGATGCACCCCCTGGGGAAAATTACTTTTTGGCGTTTAACATACCTTTTTTACCTCTATTCCAACATTGCAAGCTCAATGTTTGAACTAGCAATGCTGCATGATAAATCCACGAACATATATTGATTTTTTTTTCAAAATTCGCAAAAAGTATTCTTGTCCCGGAGGTGCATCTATCCCCCCCTTACTTCATGTGTTTACTTTTGGAGGCGCGAGAGTACTTGGGAAAGTTTTCGCCTGTATCAGGAGTACAGTGTTCTTCCGAAGAACGCGTTACCCACTGAGTTCTACCCATGGCTTTTTCTGGGCGGGTTTTCAACCAATCGCTCTGATTTTCTGCGAGTGACTAGTTCTCCCATGACACTACCCACACGAAAAAAAAAATCATAACTCAGTGGATAACGCGTTCGTCGGGGATAGCTGTAGTCGGTCAAAGTTCGTTGAGAGCCGAGCGGTTTTAGGAGTGGAAAATTTTATGATCGTTCAAACTTGTACACGACGCTTACATTTCCTAGAATTGAAGCGTCTTCAACTGCCTTTCTTTTGTTCGAGGTGGAATTCTCGGAATCCATTAAAGAGGCTGTGCGTGTGTTCAAACCTGACGTTTGTTTTTTTTTTCCGTGGAGTTTTTTTTTTATCTATAATCGGTTGCTGATCTGGCCATAACCAAGCCCAGGAGAAAATTTCTAGTTCCTCATTCTAGGTCCCTATTTTTTGCCACTGAGAAGCTGTTCTATCTCCATCTCCATCTCCAACATTCGTTGAGTCGCAGCGTTGAACCTGACTATTGGCCACGAAAAGGCTTGCCAATGCACGTCAAAAATCGACTACATTCATCCGAACATTTGTTTATCTCAAATCGACGGAAGACATTCTGCGCAACTACCATAAACCGGACTAGTTCATGTTGATCTTCGTCAAGCTTCGTCTACAATTTGAACTTCTACATCAAGCAGCCTTCAGGTTCAATTGGCTAAACTTGGTGAGTTCGTTCCATTTTGTAAATTTTTATCTTTTCAAACCAGTAACGATGGAAGATCACCTTTTTGTGGTGCGTTACTGGTATAAGATCTACCACCGAACCCTAGTCGTGACAACTTCAAGCTACCCAAGTAACATTTTAAGTTTTATGAAATACTACAAAGCAACTATAAAACAACATTCATAAAACCCTGGTCAAGGCTATTTTGTCATTAATGCATCCACCAAAACCTCATTAGGACTAGAATATGTCTAGTTGGCCCACCCTGGAGAAGGTTCTGAAGGGTGTATTCTCGAAGCTCTTCAAGATTGATCTACTGCAAAAGGTTGTATGACGAACGCATTGATAACCATTTGAAAGCTACAATAAAAGCTATTTAGCAACAATAAAAACCCTTTCCGAGCCATTTCCCCTAGCCGCATGCTGAATCCACTAGGAAACATCAATCAAGATAGAAAAGGATTTATGAATCCGATCTTATCAAAATAATGAAAATAGAAACTGATGGTATAAAAATCTTGTTGAATATCCAAATTTATTACAATCGTTCTCATTAAGTGGCCTTGTTTTAAGTGCCATATTAAATTTTATGTGAAATGTACGTGAAAACATCGAAAAAATTAAGTCCACCCTCGTAAAACGTCGATTTGACTAATTATTTAACATAGAAAAACAAAATATATTCTTCAGATCGAGCTTGGCCGAGACTTTCTTTTTATTATTTTCGCATTTAAATGTTTGCTCATTGCTAAATTTACCAAAATATAGTTATATCTAAGAAAATATTGATTGAAAATTGAAGATTGTAAAAAACAAGCAAACTAATTGTAACATGGCAGTGGCATAAAAGTTGATTTTCATGGGTCATTTGTGAAAAAGTTGTTTTGCTTTCAAGAATTCCTTAACAAATTAATAAGGGTTTAAAATGGCTTTTATAAAGAAAACTTGCAGGCTGAATTGTATTTATCTAAAGCCATTTTGCTTGATCCTAACCCGTTCCGATTTATGGCAGCATTTATGGAGGCAAAGTTGCCTGCAAAAAGTTAAACGTCAAAGTTTGTTTATCTTTCGATAGTTGCGCTGTGAGATCCAGGATTCTTCCAGGCGGTTTTCTCCCGATGGATTGGAAGCAGTTACTCAGATAGTTTGCGATACTGTTTTACAACATTTTGCATGTCGAACAGCTCGAAGTGCAATCGTTCCCAAAAAAGATCCCCTTTATCCGGATGGTTACAGAAGTGCACCATCCAACGATGCAGGGATGTACGGTTGAATGAAATTTTCGAAGATTTGATTCTAAAATCGCTGCTATGGATCGGAAACTTGCTAATCTCCGCTTACGAACAGTTTCAGTGGTTTGCTGTCGGTTGATACTTCGCAAGATCTGGAGAAGGCTGGTATGTGTTTTAACTTTCGACAATGTTTTATGGCACCGCTCAGTTTACTCTTCTCCGCCAGATGGTCAGTCGTTGATGGTGTGCTGATTCTTCTAAGGAAGTAAATTTTTCTGAAATCGACTTGAATTTTTCATCCTACTTCGTCTATCCTATGAGTTTTCCTTGTCATAAAATTGGCATTTATTAATTATGAGGAACCATCTTTTAAGCTCAATTTGTAAACAGAGTAATTGGGGAGTTAATGATGCACTTTAAAAAGCCTAAAAAGCAACAATAAATGCTTTTTGCTCTAATGCAAAACCAAATGATTTTATGGTTGCTTTTATAATGATAGAACACGTTTATAAAGTATTTTATCAAGACATTAATAAACAATTGCTAATGACGTTTATGCTTGAATTACAGAACAGTTTTAAGGAGGTATTGATAACTGTTTTAAATTTATTTTTAAAACAAGACAGTTTTTGACTTTCTTGCAAGACTATAACAGGTTTTTACAACAACAAAAAGCTGAATTACTAAGCAGGAATGTTGTACACTTTGAAATGCTATATTTAAACTAATTGGATTGTTCATTGTCGTTATAAAACCATCATAAATCAGAGTGGATGCTAAATGGTTACTGGATTGTTACTTGGGTAGTGAATCAGGATTTTCCAGTAATCAAAGGATCACATTTTAGTCCTTGTTACTTTTTATGGCTTGATAATAGTGACAAGACTCGGGTAGTGACCACCGCACCGCTATGCATTTCTATATTGTATATTTCAAACCAAAAATATTGTTTATGTTAATAGATTTCACATAATCCTTTTCCCTTTGTCCTTCCCCTTTTCCTTTTCCTCTTTTCTTTTCTGGAAGCAAGTAATGGCGCAATAGCCATAAGTCGTAAAAGGTTAGGACAAGAGTTAGTGCTCATTCCCCAATCGTCAGAAGAAAATGAAGCATCACTTAACCTTTCTAGCTTTGATGTTTTCTGAATCATCTTACCCCTTAAATGCTGCACAGTAGACCTTGCTGTTTTGATATGTGTGATGCATCTTCGATGTGAAACATATATCAAATAGACAAGAAAAATTATGTAGGTATATACACTCCCGATCATAAGTTTAAGGACACCCCCAAAACAACATGACAAATTTGTTATGTGCATATCTCTGTCATGTTACGTCCAATTTATGTTCTCTTTAGATCATTTGAAAGGTATTTAATGGAACTTTCCACGAAGGCAAATTGTTCAATATAATTTTAAAATTTTGTTTGCTAAAAGTTCACCCAAAGTTACAATATTTTCCAAAATTTACTCTGAAGAATCGTGACTGATTTTCTCAGAATTGGGTAAGCCAAATTTTGAAATAAAAGTAGTAGTAGAACACTTATGCTATGCCATTCATACCATTCAAATAACCTTTGGAGATCGAAAATCGAACGTAAAATGAGAGATCATTGAACAAAACATATTTGCATGGTTTTTTGGAGGGTGTCTTTAAACTTATGATCTGTAGTGTATATAATTTTCCAGGATACTTTCAAGAACTGGCTGTGTTGGTTTTAGATTAGATTACATAAGATTAGATTGGAATACTCGGAATGCATTAAAATTTCACTGTCACGTTAAACTTTTTCAAAGCACTCATTATAGATGAGCTGCAACAGACTGATTGCGGAATACTTTTTTTTTTTGTAATTACTTTATTTGTACAGGCTCAATCGAATAAACTTTACAGAGCCGAGTTATCCTTTGCGTTATACATTATTACTGTCTTATATTTAA